TTTTACAGCACGAAATACTGCAAAAACGCATAATCGCACGAGCCTGTCCGGTGCGCCCCACCAATGACTCGCTAAATTTTCCATTCCTTTGTCTGTTTCTCTTTTTTTTCGTGCTTTTTTATGTTATTTTGAACGAAAGTAACGCACCAATCCAGATATTTCAGTTATGGTCCCTTTCAGAATTTTGTACTGTGATTCCACGCTGATGTGCAAATTTAGCTGCATTTGGAGTCGGACTTAGAGTTTTTTGGATATACATCGTGATTGAACCTACCTCTAATGAAGCATGCCCAACAAGCTTGTTACTTATGCAGTATTCGCGGGCTGAAGCATAATTGTCGTCGAGTACCACCCGTTTTGTGGTATCTGTGTGTATACAGACTCGGGTAGGAATTGACTTTGGCGAATTTGTACATTATGTGCAAACTGCAATTGTTTTACCTGCGTTAGGGATTTTTTTATATTTCTTTTTATATTTCTTCATATTTTTTGTTCTCGTGTGATCTTCTTTCGCTCTTTTATCTCTTTTTCGATTTCTGTTTCGATAAAGAATAGTTATAAAAAATTTTATTCAGTTGTGATAGATTTGTTACTGTTTGCTGATCGGGTGACTGTTTCATGACACTTCTTCTAAGCTTCTCCCCTCCAGAACAGCGACCGTTGGAGTATAAATTTCATTTTGTTAAAAGCGATCACACTACAAATCGACGCAAATTGCTTTCACTTTTCTTGGCATCGCTGTTTGGGCAATTGTATCAGACAATCTTTTTTTGGTTGCTCGCAAGCATGCATTTCACGGGCTAGTATTCTTCGCTGCTAGAACTACTGATCGTTAAAGTTCTTGCTTGTAGATCGGTCGAAGAGAGCCAAGCAAGCTCATCGAAGCAGTCCGCTGCTGTAGCAGTGAAGCAGAGCGTGGTGTGCGGCGAGGAGAATAAAGTGATGGAGCGAAACGAAATATCCCAAAACGAGAACAAGACAACGGAACGAAGTGAGGCATCCGATAAGGAGAATAAGATTGCTCAGATGGCACTTAATAGTAAGCGCTGAATATTTTTAAAAAATTTCTTATCATAAGACAAAGTCAGCCAAGCCACTTCACGTGCCTCAGCTATAGCTCTGCTGCAGTGAGAAAAAAAAAAACTCATATTGTCGAGAAGTCGTCCGTGTATATATGCGTGTGGAAACGAATGAACTTTGTCACCCACTTGGAACTCCGCAATCAGGAAAGTTGGGAGGCTGAAATTTTAGCGTCATATTCCCACTCCGTCTCGTTTAAAATCTTTGCTCATGCGTGCTCAGACCCCCGAAAAAAAATATGCAAATTTCTTTGGCGGTAAACGATTTCGAGAATCATATAAAATGGAAAGCTGAAACTTTGCAGGGATATTCTTTGTGCACGTATGAGCGAAAGATTTCAAAACCAGCTGTCGCACGCGCTTATACTACTCACACGTCTTGTAAAAGTTCTAATTTGGCGATGTGCCAACTCGAAAATTAGCTAGAAAACAGCAACTGATATTTTGTCAGAATATTTGTTGTTCATATTAAAAATCGTGTATCTATATTGATTTTCGATTTGCACGCGCGTTACGGCTTAGGTCACTTAAAAGATATCTGTAGCGAAGTGGCTATTTCCCTTACCAAACAAGCTGTAAAACTGAAGCTTGCAAAGATATGCTACATCTACGTGTGTCTTAATTCAGCTTGGAAGTGAAATTTTTGCACGCAGACAGACAGATACTCAATTTGATCGCGAAATGAAAAACGAGTGCATTTTGCAGGTTTCGCAGTTCTCTTCCGACTTCCTTCAGATTTGCATTTTTTTTTTTTTTTTTGCTCAAGCATTTACTGGAAAAGTGACCAGACTTCATGCAAAAAAACTGATAATCATGCTCAATAAAGATCCATGCAGCTCCATAATGCAACACCATCATCCCAGTCGACGCCTTTTCTTTCTGCATGCGGAAAGAAGCTAAAACGCAGCCAGTCTAAGCCCAAGCATTGCTACAACGTAGCAACTACTCCTGCTGTCAACGATCTGCAATTTTGGCGCTAAAACGTATGATCGCGCTGGCAATCCTGGTGCGTTGCAGCCTGGGTTTTATCATGTCTGGATGCTTGGGACATCCGTTCTTTTAAAATTTTGTCTTCTAGAATTATACTGAGAATTCTACATGGAAAAGTTTACTATTAGATGAGGAGGAAGCAGCATCAGCAATGGCAGCAACAGCAGCAAAAGAGGAAGAGGATGAAAGCGAATGGCGATTGGTGACTGCCCGAAATAAGCACCGCAAAAGCACCGAAGATGTAATGTCAGATGTTAAAGAAAAAAAGCAGGGCAGGGTAGACAATGTAACGGTCAGTTCTTTTCATGTATGTTCATGTCTTTCCATTACTAGAATTTTGAACACTTGCTTTTTACTTCCATCTGTCTGTGCTACCCGTGTGTGTGGTTTCATTTTCTATTCAGGTGTGGATTTTTGTGGCGTTTTGGAAATTGTTGCAAATTCCTAGAGAATGCATCTCTCGCAGCTCATTTTTACACCTTTTCTGAACCGGACTTTTGAAAATGTTTGTCGAATTGAACCTGGACACAAAGCAAGTCCCGTGAATTGACGCTTTCAGTAGCATCCGACTTCTAGATGCCAGAAAGCAACGAATTGTGTTTCGAGAATGGATATGTTTCGAGCAGTCCATCAATTTCTAAAATTGTCTGGGCAAGGCGGTGTTGCTTGTGAGACACAGTTGTGTCAGGCCTTCCAATTCTAATTTCTAAGTTTTCATTGAGTTCTTAGTGCTTTAACTGATGAGTTAAAAGTAAGTGTGCCACCTGCTCGCAAAAAATTCATCACACGACTTCCGATAAGATGGCGCACTTGTCTTTAATTCATCAGTTAATTTCTGTCGAACTTCTTATTTTTCTCATTTTTTTGCAATGAAAAAACAAGTTCTTGGCAAGATTTTAGCCCGTTGCGAAACACTGTTTATATATTACTTATAATATAAAAAAATATTTCATTTTCTTCACTTTTCAACATATGATTGTTATTCATTCAGTTGATCAGTTTGACTGTACTAGCAATCTTTCGAAAGCGGGAGCCATCAACAGTCTTTCTAGCGGATTGCTAGTATTCGTAGGAGCTAGCACACAAGCTGCTTTTGAATGTCTCCACCTTTCATACAGAATTCTTGACTTTGACATTAACGTGTATTCGAGGGAGCGGGAGGTAGTCTGTTTGTGAAGAACTGATGTAGACATTTAACTCTTACTTTAAAATAAACTGGTTTGCGAAAACAATATTCAGTGCTGGCCAACGAGTTTGTTTATGTTTTTTAATTGCTTTATTATTTCAGATATCTCCGAAGCGAGCCCCAATGAATGTTTACGAACGTTTGTCAAGTGGTGTTCTTCGGCCACCAAATGCTCTACGGGCTCCTGTATTATCAGAATCAGCAGGACGAGGAGGCTTATTGTATCCTCGATCTGCCATGGATTTGCCACAAACTAAAGTAATTTATTGTTCATTTAGTCAGAAACTACGGAAATGTAACTGTACAAAAGGAGGTAGTAGAGATGTCGAAGTGTGGTGTAAAAAGTTTTCGCCTTAGCATGCGTATTAATGCAAAAGGATTTTTGAACAAAAAGCCAGTTTTGCGCGTAAGAATGTTACTTTCTCTGAAGTTATCTTTAAAAAAAATCATCGATTTTTGACTGTTTTCACCACCTTATGTCTTTTTTCCTGGTAATTGTTTTGTGGTTGATATCATGACAAAGAATTTCTCGTCATATTATCCCGTCATGCCATCTCGCTGAAGAATTATTTCAGCACCGAAACAAATCTTTTTCTTCATAATAAACGTTAATTCGGTAACACAGCTCGATTCGACTAGCTGTTTCATCGTGCGCAACGGAAACTGTTTGGTACGCTAGTGTACAGGATTATAAGGGCTTCTGCATGCCACTTTGTCGGTCAAATGTTACTCTGCACAGCAACTACTAAAACTCGGCTAGCCTCGGCTCCACCTCATCTGGCCTTGGCTCACCACGGCCAACCTCGGCAGCTGGACGGTTTTGTGAATTTATCCGCAGACCGTGTAGTAGGGGCAGTGAGAAGGACGGGAGGAGAAGGGGGGGGGGGGGGGGGGGGGGG